TTGCAGTAGTATATTTTGGGCAAAATTTCTAAGTTCAAAGAGACATAACTCCTAAAAAAAATTATCATGATTTCCTTTTGAAAAGCACATACATCTACATAGTATGTCCATGTTATCTACAAAGTTTCATGAAATTCTGTAGTGTAGTTTCAGAGGAGTTGCGATGACAAGAACTGGCCTGACGGACGGACGGACTGACGGACTAACGGACAGACGGACGGTTTTAAAACATTATATCCTACAGGACTTTGTTCCGTGGTGGTATAATAATCTTAGTTTGAAAATTGATCGTAGGTTACTTTACATCAAGTCTTACGAATATATGTTTTCATATTTTTTTTAATGAGCCACAGACTGTTTGTGCAAGAAAAAACCTATTAATATCTTTCTCTCTAGATTACTTGGTGATATCACCTCTGAATATACTTATTCTTTCAAAAGAAACTTTTTGTTGTGATTATATAAATATATTCAAAACAAATTCCTATAAACTTTCATGCAAAAACTTTTATTTTATGAATGGACATGTGTAAAGATAGTAATTATGGACATCCCTATTGAAAAGCCCCTAACATACTGTAATTGCTTGAAGTCTTTGTTGTCGACAGCGAGTGACCTGACACGATAACATTTAAATACCAGGTGTCCATGTACACACTGTTATGAAATTCATTCTCTGGTGGAGAGTTGTCCTATTATATGAATAAGAAGATGTGGTATAAATGCCAATGAGACAAATCTCCAAAAGAGACCAAATGACATAGAAATTAACAACTATAGGTCACCGTACGGCATTCAACAATGAGTAAAACCCATACCGCATAGTCAGCTATCAAAGGCCAACGAAATGACAAATGTAAAACAATTAGCTTGTTTTTTTCTTGAACAATTAAGTGGTTTTCAAGAAAAATAAATATAAGTACTTTTTAATTGTGTATTTATAGATTATTTGTCAATGTCCATGTTGTATCGAAAAATATCTCTAAAAATTGGTTTTCAAAGTTCGTATTTCTCCCTCTTTCTTTTAAAAACAATATCCGGTACTTCTCTCACATCGTGATTGTTTTACTTCAGTTGGCAAACCTCGGCAGAATCCGCTATCTTTCATCACTGTTCTACAGATGTGTGCCGAATGTGTTTTACGTTAGTCACTTTATTTTTAGAAACAGGAACGTACGTTTGTGATATATATAAAATATTACCAAATGTATTGTAATTGTCTATCATATTACCAATAAGCAGTATTGCATAGTGTGTATGCTAACTTTCGAAGATAAAGATGTTGTTACCCTTAAATGAGTATGGATTATTAAACATAAATAACATATTAATTTTATACACTATGAATAAGTTTCAAACAAATATAGTCTCTCCTGTTAATTTATCCATAGATACAGGATAGACAAATTTCTATAAACGCTTTTGTAAATTAAATACTCTGTTTTTGATTTTATAAGGCCCGCATTAAGGCCCTGTTATGGTTCAAGGAAATGAAAGTTTTTTTTTTCTTATCAATTTGAACATTTTGTATAGGAATACATAAAATCAAAAAGTTTGACTGAATTGCACACTGATTTTTATATTACGAAGTCGTTACATAGAATTGAATTTAATTAGGACGAATAGAGCAGTAGCAAAATAATGTATTTGTTTTACTCACAGGATCAAAATCTAACGGTACCAAACCCTATTTACACAGGAAATTAAATATTCAAAGAGTCATTGTCGTATATATTCAAAACAATTCAACCATTTTACATATTTCCATAAAATTCAAATACTATTCAATTCTACATATTGTAGCTAAAGGCATTTTGATACTAAATTGTAAGTTTACATTTGGTCATATTGTGCATCGAAGTACGTTGTTAACCAAAATAATTAATGTGTGTATCCGAACGACAATACATAGCTTGACTTCCAACATAAATTTGGTTTTCTTCCATTCTTATAAGTCTTATAATTTTTTCCATGTGTTCATTTCTGATAGAATTTTTATTTCTTTCCTGTATTGTGTTTGTTGTTTGTTTTTGTCACACACTAATTATGTTTATATGACAATAAAAATATTATACTGGTACAATTTTTAATAACACCAAGTACTAAAACATTGACATAATTGCAGTATTTCGCCATCTCCTGGTGTTTTTAATAACATGATCTGTTTAGAAATAAGTAATAATATTGTTAAAACCTAAAAGAACACACATTGCAAAGTGATACTAAGTATTTGAGTGAAGACTGAAAATCTTTTTGAAAATGGCCCTGATGTGAAACAAACACATTGGAAATTAGACCTAACTCTTTCTTGAATATTCCTTTTCTATTTTTGATTAGTAGAAAAATATTACATCGGTGTTTAAAAAAAAACTAAGGTTCCAACTCCCTTAGAAAAAGTTGACCTTAGGGTATTTGACTATTCTTTAAGGTCAATTTTGTCTTAAAGTTCCTCACGTTGTTAAGTACTTAGTATATCATTCACTTAAGAAAATTACTCTTGGCATTTTGATGAAGGTTAATCCACAAAGCGCTTCGGACACAACTTATTAATAAAGTGTTATATGTTTTTTTTCTCATTTACATAGAACAATAAAGAAATAGGTTTTCCGAAAATTCGACATTTTTAAAATTACCCATATTCATTCCTATTCCATACGATATCTCACTCATCCATAATAGCTGACTGACAAACTAACAATGAGGGTAATGATAACTGTGTATTAGGCGGGATTGTATTGGTAAAATCGGGTAACATGCGTGACTGTCTGATAAAAGACATACCAATAATAAAATTTAATTATGTAAGGAATTCCAGAATTGAAAACCCACTGAAAAATCGCGGTTGATCTAATTGAAAATTAAAACATAGCCTTACAATGTAAATAGTAACAGATGGCGTTGTAGTGGTAATTCTTTTGTATAATTTTAAATAGGTTTAAAACAAAAAGATAAGATAAACGGTATATCTAACAATACATTCAACTATACAGTTCGTTTGTCCTTGTGCAAAGTTCTGTTGTACTTACAGCTGAATATACTTCATTTGTTTTTATTCTAGAAACTTTGAGTTCTTACATTTCTAGTCATGTTCTTTGCTACTGAAAAAGTGATATTTGAATTTTAAAATTGCAGGAACAAATATCCTTACTTGTTGTCGAGTTTCCGATTTAATTGGTTTTGCTGCTCTTTACTGTTAGATGTATGAAAAATTCAGGTCAAGCTATAGTTGCATGTAATGAGCATATCAAATATATTTTAAAATATTTTGCATACACTTCATGTTAAACTTAAAGTAAAATTTTAAATAATATTTTCTGAAATATATCTGAATGAAATCTTTTAAATAGATGAACATTTGTATAAAATGCACATAAAGTTTTAAGTTAATCTGAAATCTCCAAATTCATTTCGTAGATTTTTATTAAATTGTATATGATGTTGCTACACAAATTTCCATGTTGATAAAAAAACTATCATTGTCATCGACTTCAGTTTTGCTGTATTAACCAATATTTTACCGAATCGGTGTTGAAAAAAGTTCAAAAATGTATGAAGGGCCTTTTGGGTCACAATGCAATTGTTGACAAGTTCGCTATAGAGAAACGCGTTTTAGCTTGTTTGCGTACCATAGAGTTCACATAAATACCTTAGAGCAACGAGTAACAGTAAGTTTGTGTATCATAGAGTAATGTGTTACACATTATTCGCGAAAGCTAGAGCAAAAGGTTAATGCGAAACAGAGATGGATTCGAGTTCCTGTGGGGATCGTGTATCATACAAAAATCTGTCAACCTTATTACGGACTAATATGATTATTTGCATCAACAACCGATATTTTGATCTTTAATTAACCGATCAAATTCAGATCATACTTCTCTGACACAGTCACTAAATTTAGACAAACAAAATAATAAACATTTTCTTAGATTTGCATCAACTCCATATGCATTCATCAGGGAACGAAGGACGTAAAAGCCACATCTCCCAAAATACTTTTCCATGCTTTCTAAAAGTTAGATAAAGTTAAGAGTGACTATCTAAAGATCAGTTCACGGAAGCAATCTGAAATATGCGTTTGCTTAAAAGTCAAGGCGGATCAAATATTCTTTAAAACCGTAAGCCTCTTTACATAATTTCTTGAAAGATATGTCGAAGGTTATATGTGATATTAGAACTGGGATGTATCAAAGAGAAAGGATTTTGAAAATGCTTGAAAAATACAAACCTTTCATAGATCCATCTCAAAAACGTTTCAGATAAATTCAGTTATAAACTTTAATACTTGAAAATGTTGATTAAGTTTCAGTTAGATCAATGTAAATCAACTCATCATAGATACCAAGATGTAAGTTTCAGCTCGGTGTCCGAAATTGTTTTTTTTTATCAAAGTTTGTTAAATCTTAAAAGATAAAGAAACCGGGATTAAAAAAAAAAAAAAAAACTACTTATTTCCCCCAAAATGCATTCACTGCATGGTTTTTTCTATAGCAAAATAATTGTCAAAGATAAATATTAATGAAAGTTCATAATATTCAATAAGATTTATCTTATAAGACAAACAAAAATAAAAGTTAAATTGCGTTTCAAAACTGACCAATGACAGGTTAAAAGTTACTCCGTAAAATGATTTGATTTAATGTTGAAAACAATACAATAATCTCAAACATGTCACGTTCCGGTCAATCACCTTAACCTGTTTTCGTTTTCTGAAAATTTGAACATACAATAAGAACCAAACTGTTCAATTTTCTGGAAATCATTGTGATATGTATATCTGTTTGAAAAGAATGTGGTATTTTGAAAATTAAATGCCTACCACAATTGCAGACGTGATACAATCATCACGGTGTTCTTCGTTCATAATTATCACTGCTTGAATAGATAAAGCAAGATTTTAATGAAGTTTGAATAACCGCAATCTTGCAAAAACTGATGATATTGTGCGTCGCTTAGCTACGATCAAATATGGTTTTTTTTCTCAGGACATAAAAACCCTGTTCATATTATTAATATAACACACTCCTTAGATTTAACCAATTGTATAGATATTTAGACAGAAATCAGATTAAGGTGTTAGAGATTTTACAATGGAAGTTGCTGGTATAAACCTTCTAACATTTGTTGGCTTTGTTTTGACAACTGTAGCTGCAGTTTTAGATTTAATTGGTTTCGTTTCTCCATACTGGTCTACTGGTAGTGGAAATGGTATAGAAGTTAACGCAGGACTTTGGAGATACTGTTATTCAGGATCTGGTACTTCAGTATGTGGAACACAAGGAGACACTTTTGATTTGGAATGTAAGTAACGTTAAGTAAAAAAGGAGAGTCGGGTTTGAGACTTTGATCAAAACACATTTTTTATTAGAAATATGATAACAAAATATAGTTACATCATTTCCTGCAACATCAACTCAGTATATCGTCCTGTACACAAACACTTCATAAAACATTTAGCGCACTTTATGGAGATTTGATGAAATATCAATCTCGGATCTATGGTATAACAGAAGTCGTCAATGAGAAATAATTTTGTATTTAGCTGATCTCATCATGTTTTTAGTATAATTCTTTCAAAATATGGCAATTTGAGTTCTTGCAACTTAAACATTTAAGTAACAACGCTGATTTTCTGTAGGTTTTTTTAGGGTGGTAAATCAAAATTTCCCTTGTATTTGTTTCCCCGACATAGTTATTTTCAAACAGACATGGTGTCTATAAATTGATATTCAATATTAAACGAAAATCAAAGTATGGAAGCTTTCTGAATATGCTTAAAGGTACTATTAAATAATGTATCATATTTTTGGTGATATTTCTACTTACAGATGGATCAGTCAAATGTGTAATTTTTGACAAATTTTTAGTATTTATTGAAAAATACAATCCCTATCATCACCAGTGACAAAGATATCTTCAAGATATCTTGATCTTACTCATTATCATACATTTTATTGAAATTCAATTTCCGCCATTTTAGAGTAATGCTACATACTATATATATCTAATTTTTAAAATTTGATTCGGAAAAGGCGGAATATGGAATGTATGCTCATTTATTTAAATGCTTTTTTGTTCACCTATTAAAAGCATGGTTCAAAGCCGTTCAAGCTATGGAAACACTTGGTTTTTTGTGTCTACTGGCTGCTGCTGTTGTTGTAATCATCAAATTGAAAGTCTTAAAAGATAAACCAGTTCTCAAATTTGTTGGCATTGGATGTCTAGCAGCGGCAGGTAATTAACATAATTGGAAGGTTTTTAAACCAAAACAATTATTTTCATTAAAACTTTCAATTGATAACAACATCATATTATGATTATAAACATACAAAGGCGTATGTAATGAAAATACATTAAATGAACAGATAAATTATTCCTTTAAATACTGTAATTCGTTGCTTAGTAATTGAAATTATGATATTATTGTAAAGACTTAAAAAATACATTCAAGGACCGATATTTTTCTGATTGTTCATATCAACGATGTTTTTCTTTTTTTCAGCGGCATTTATCCTACTCGGGGTGTGTATTTATGGAGCAAAAATAAACAGTACTGAGATAGGCAGTTTACAAATGGACAATCTTCATTTTGCGTTTGCTCTTGTCATCATTGCTGCCATCATCGCAATTGTTGCATCAGTATTGTTTGTCCTCGACAAGTGATTCAATTGAGTTTTGATAAATATATAACAAACAAAATAAGTTTTACGACAGTGCTTTTTTATTAACTAATGGAACATCTTCATTTTTCGTTTGCTTTTGTCATCATTGCTGCTATCATCGCCATTGTTGCATCAATATTGTTTGGCCTCGACAAGTGATTCAATTGTGTTTTAATAAATATACAAAAAAATTAACATACCGAAAAAGGTTTTGATTTAACCGTGATAAAGCCTTCGTTGAAATAACAAAATTATTTGTATTGTGTAGTAAAATTTATTTATTTCCTTGAAATAGTACATTTTAATATTGTACAATGTAAAACTAGTTTTGTTTTTCTTTACCTTTTCATAAAAACGATTGCAAAAATGAAAAGGGTTCTTTGACTTAAATTTGCAAATGCTAATCCCTATCGGGAGGGATTAAATTAAAATCATAGTACATCAAGTGTTCTGTAGTATAGCCTTTAACTGATGACGTTGTTTTCTGTAAATAAAAGAGGATATGGGTATACACCATTTTTTCTGTAGAAAAAAGGCATTCTAGAATGTTCGGTTTGTGGCCTCCAATATGTTGGTGAGTCAAAGCAGCCTTTCCACAAACGCCTCAATGGCCATAGGAGTGATATCTCTAAGAAGCCACTTCTCCCAGTTAGTCAGCATTTCAGACAGTCGGGTCATAAACTTGATGACTTTAACTGCATGAAAATCCTAGTGATTGAACAGAACATTCACTGGAGTGATGCTCAGCGACAGGTTCGGGAAAGCTTTTATATAAAGGAACTAAATTTACATCATCCAAACGGCATCAATAAGAAATACTAGCAGTTTTATTTTACACTCATTTTGGGATGTATATATACACAGTCACGTCTATTGAATATCGAGTTTTGTTTTATATTATGATGTTCAAGATTTGGGATTAAATCACTACACCAAAACTTACCTGTATTATTGAGCTATTTTACACATACAATTAGTATTGTTAAAATTATTGACACTGACAAAGGCTATTTGTTAAGCCGAAATATTTGTCAACACGGTTTTATAACATCATCTTCGTATATTACCATCTTATATTAGTACCATTGTGCAAATCTTCAGACTTGTATAATTTTTTCCTTATCTGCGCAGTATCGTCTATTCTAAACGATCCGGTACATATTAAATTTGCTGGTTGGTCCTTTTTATAGACTTTTATATATTTATATAGAACGTTGTTTTTAATTTAGACTTGTTTATATATATATATATATATATATATATATATATATATATATTTGAACGTTGTTTTCAATTTAGACTTGTTTATATATATAACCAGTCTAAAAGGGTACAACATCACCAAAAAATGACAATAAACGAACAAATGTAACTATAAATATTTCGGATAACAGATATCCTTCATCAGTATGAGCACGATGTAAAATGAATTAGATCAATCTTGAATTCTATACAATAAAAAAAAGTGAAACAGTTTCACCCGAACATCATATGTAGAGACGCTAATAAACTTTCAAAATTTCCAAAAAACGACTCAAAGACATGCCTAAAATGAAAATAGTAATTAGAAATATAAACTGGCACAACTCGAGAAACAAATTATTTCAACATCTTTATCCAAACCTCTGTCTTGGTTCCGTTTCATCGATGATGTTGACATGAAATGGATTGAATCCCAACAAAAATTGGATGATTTTATCAGACATGCAAACAACGCACACCAGTCAATTCAATTTACATATGAAATTTCCGACTCCAAAATATCTTTCTTAGACACTACTACATCTATTAAGGACGGTGTCATATCAACAGATCTCTACTGTAAACCTACAGATAAACATCAATACCTTTCTCCCCAAAGCTGTCACCCCAAACACTGTACAAAAAGTATCCCGTACAGTCAAGCTCTCAGAGTAAAGCGGATTTGCTCCTCTGAGGAGGCTTTCACTAAACGGTTACAGGAACTTCGCAATTTTTTGACCAAACGAGGTTATAAGAAATTGGACATAGATAAGGGATTTGCGCGTGCTAATAACAACAGCCGCAATGACCTATTACAGTACAAACAGAAGAGGCGCAGCAAAATAGTTCCGTTTGTTTTAACATACAATCCCGCCTTTACTAACCTTTCACGTTTGATCCGTGCCAATTGGCAAACTATTGCCAAGCACCCAAAATTGTCCAAGATCTTTCCCAATCCTCCTGTCTTAGCTTTTCGGAGACCAGCAAGTCTGAAAGACTTATTTGTGAAAGCTGTTCAACTGCAGGATGGTGCAAGTCGTGTGGTAACAGACGATGTCTGACTTGCCAACAAATACTGAATACTCAAACATTTACTTGCCACTCCACTGGGTCTGTGTACACTATATTTTGTAATGTAACTTGCAAAACACAGAATGTTGTATACCTTCTTCAGTGTCGATGTGGCATGCAGTATATTGGCGAGACAGAACAGCCTTTCAACAAATGGTCATCGAAGTGACTACACCTGCAAGCCCGACCTCCCCGTAAGTCGTCATTTGAGATCACCTGGGCACGCCCAAGCTGATCTCAAAAACCTTACAATCACAATCATAGACCACAACGAGGGTTGGTCAAGGGCCGAAAGACTTGCTCGGGAAAGGTTTTGGATAAGAAAGCTAAGGACAGTTTCCCCAGAGGGCATAAATGAAAAAACATAGAATGAGTCACTCATTTTCCCTACCATCACTCATTTTCCTGACATCATTTGTTTCCAGTTACTCCGGCTTCCTTACTGGACCCTTACAGTTTTAAGGATTCTTTTGGAATTTTTTGAATTTTACTAGTTTAAATACAAGGGTTCTTTTCATTTGATAGGGATGTTCAAGTACGCATCCACGGCCATTTTTTTAACCTTATCCCAAATTTACTATTATTTTTTTTCTTTTCATTATAAAACTGCTATTTATTTGGGATGATAAAAGCCTCTGTTTGACATATTTTACCAGCTTATATCGATCAGTGCTGTTTTTTTTTTTGGAGGGGGGGAATGTATTGACACGCAGTTATTGTAACATCTTAACTGACGCCATTTTGGAATTTTAGAGTTGTGCCAGTTCATATTTCTAATTACTATTTTCATTTTAGGCATGTCGTTGAGTCGTTTTTTTTTTGGAAATTTTAAAACTTTATTAGCGTCTCTACATATGATGTTCGGGTGAAACTGTTTCACTTTTTTATTGTATAGAATTCAAGATTGATCTAATTCATTTTACATCGTGCTCATACTGATGAAGGATATCTGTTATCCGAAATATTTATAGTTACATTTGTTCGTTTATTGTCATTTTTTGGTGATGTTGTACCCTTTTAGACTGGTTATATATTATATTTTGTAGTGTGTACTGTATCATATTTATATGATATATATATATATATATATATATATATATATATATATATATATATATATATATATATATATATATATGGATCTGTCGTCGAGTTGTCACTTGTTTAGACGTACTTATCATATAATTATTTCTGTGACTGCATCTTACGATCCTTTACGATAGATAACTTAACTAATCTGCAATCAATTCCATATTCATGCCTAATATATCATGTACTGTTTTACAACTCTAGATTCTACTGACGAAGAAAGGTAACACTAGGCCAGCGAAGGCTGAATTTTTAGTTTAGTCTAGGTGGCCGAGTGGTCTAGAACGATGGACACAGTGCAGGCGGTGTTGTCTCGATATCCCAATAGCACGAGTTCGAATCCCGGCGAGGAAAGAGCAAAATTTGCTTCCGCAAATTTGCAGATTTAACATTGTTGTGCTGTTATTTAGAGTAATTATTATAGGATTAAACACATTTTTTCTAGAGGTTATTGATGTGTAAACTGGGGCAGTTAACTCACAAACTTTTGGACTTTTATGTAAAGTTTGTGAGTCAGCGACCCAGTTTACACATCAATAACCTCTAGAAAAAATGTGTTTAATCCTTATAATTCTTAACCCAATCATTTGCAATTTTTAATTAACATTTTTTGGTACATTGGCATTTATTTACCATCAAATGCACAATTGACATTTTTTAACTAAGGAGTAAGCCGCCATATTGGCTTTCTGAAATCCATTACTATTCGATTAATGCTAAAGAATCTAAAATGAAATAACACCTACCTCAAAAACTTCATTTTAATGAGATAGTATTTAAATTTGAAGCGTACAAGAAACAGAATAATCTTCATCTTGAGAGACGTCAAGTTTTCCCCTGAAGATAATGCACCAAGCTCATTCATGATTTTTCGCAGAATTTCATTTTATTGTAAATTTATACATTTTCCAAGCTTTAATGAATTAATTATTGTCTTTTTAATATTCATTAGAATAGAAATAACAGTTATGTATTTGTTTTTTGTTTTTTAAATCTCAATTTGCTTGAACCCCTTGATCCATGCAACTGTATCGCGCATGAATAGATCACAATGAAGGTTACGAAAATAGTTTCGTCAACATGGTTTATCGAAGTGTAAACCAATGATAAAATGATAACGGACCAATCCAATTCAAGTAACTGTAGATATGCAAATCATATAAGAATTATATATATATATATAAGTCTGAAAATTACACCCAACAGTGTTAGAATATATATATATATAGTGTTTGCACCTCATGTTTGCGGTATACCATCTTTTTCGCAAGTTTATTGTTTTCTGTTTGGTATTAAATTAATATTTAAGATCCATTTTGTTACATCTTTGTGATCCGTTTGTTTGGCAATCGCCAATGGCAGTCAGCAGGGTTTAAGAACATCCGTTGTTCGACCTGCTAGTCAAATGCGTTTTGTTTAAATATACTTTTTCATTTTTTTGGTCTTTTGGAAAATGTTGTTTGTGCTGTATTTAGACCCCTCTACCAAGAAATTTGTTTTGCATGAACACGTATAAAAATTGCGGTTTTTATCCAACGCAATCATAGGTTTGAACGTTGTTTTCAATTTAGACTTGTTTATATATAGGACATTTTAGCGCCGGAATATTAAACTTATATGGATTTTCAAATAGGACGTTTGCGCGCAATTTCATGTGATGCTTTTATATGAATTAAAAGAGTATTTTTAAAAAGAGAGAAAAAATAGTAAGTTTTTAAAATGAATATATTTTATTTTATTTTACACATGAGTAATTCAGAAAGTTGGATTAAGTCAACAATACAAGAGGTAGATTTAGATATCAGTAAATGGCTGAAAGGAGTGTTTGTGATAGCTTTCATAGATCCAGAGGAAGTAGCAGACTTTTTTTTCGAGTATTACTTGACCGTTTTACCTACCGACAAGCCTTGTATATAGACTTTGACGAATCGTTGTTTCTACCTTATCTATTGGCCGCAGTTCCATTTACGTCAAAACGTAAGAACAATGGACCGAATCATTTCATGCCCATTATATTGAGCAATTTTATCATAGTCACCCATCAATGTATACTTTCCTTGACACCTTTGTTCATTCCTCCTATTCCCACTTTTTATAAATCTGGTAAGA